ACGAAGCTGCGTCAACGAAACTAATCGGTTATGTCGATGCCGATCATGCCGGCGATCCAGATAACAGGCGCTCTTCGCACCGCTTACGTCTATCGTCTCGAGCCTATCGACCTATCTCCTGGCAGTCGAGTAAGCAGAACTAATCGCTCCTCTTCTTCAGCTGAAGCAGAATATATCGCCCTCTGCTCAGCCACCAAGGAAGGACTCTACCTTCGCGAACTGCTGAAGGAAGCAAGTTAGCTGAGTTACCCAGCTTCACCCTGCACTGCGACAACCATCTGCAATTCGCATCGCCAACAAAACGGATTCGCGAACAGAACGAAGCATATCGCTCTGCGATACTTCTTCGTGAAAGACGAGATAGAGAAAGGAAGACTCGAGTTATCCTACTGTCCCACGTCCGAGATGGCAGCCGACTATTTGACCAGAAGCTCGGAAAACAGAAGTTCGAGTACTGCATGCTGCTGACTGGACAAAGCCACGTCACCATCAGCGACACTCCAGAAGCGAAGGGGAGTGTTGGGAATAATAAGTCTTAAAACGCCTCTGTCGTGTCGAAGCTCAAGGACTCAAAGCGAAGCAGTCCAAATCGAAGCATCGCGAGTCAACCCTCGGAGGTTGGGGTAACCGCCTGGAGTTTACGCGAAGGTCAAAGGTCAGCGCCTTTGACTTGACCAATACAGCGCGACAGCAAGGACACACAACTGACTCGACATTGAGCAGTTGCCCGAGTCGCACTGTATCGAATCGCAACAGCAAGACAGTTATCTTATCTATTCGTATTCCTTGTACTCTTATATAAAGCCTTGTACTTGCTTGTTTTAATCAACTTACTTTGCCCTCACATACCAGCGCAAGGTGGTTCAAGATCTTTTATTCAACGCTTCCGCTATTACAAATCCTACCCAGACTTTAACTCTACAAAGATCCTTAGGGCTTATCAGCCCAACACCTCTCTCCATCCCATCCTGTATGTATTAAGTCCCCCAGCTTCATCTCCAGCAGGCACTCTGACCCCTTTTGTCGGCCAAAGGGACTTTTTCCCCCTGTAGAAGATATATCTGCTGAAGCAAATCCTCTCGTTAGCATACTCCCAACGGTTTCGCTGGTGCCGCCGGCAATTCGATGCAGGGTCTGCCAGAAAATTTGTGATGTGTTGTGCTCGATGCGGATTTGGATGGGTGGGAGAAGTGGAAATGTCATAGCAAGCTTGCGACAATTTTGTGCTTGTTGTGACTGATCGTATCAGAAGTCGGAAACAACTTCTAGTCGGTCTTGTTACTACTTGGGGACTTGCCCTGTTCGGAAAAAAAAAACACCAAACTTTCAGGAAATTTTCATGAGCTTTCTAGTGGATCCACTAGAAGGGGGGGGGTCACTATTTTAGCTGCTGGCTTTAAAGCAGCAGTATACATTGGGCAGGACTGTGGAGGTTGTACAGTGCCCAATACTATTTCGGGCTAGTGAAAGTGAAACATCTTGGCGAGAGTATTGGCGAACATTCCGAGCCCCTCCACCACTTGTAGAGATTTGTGCATGTAAGGAAGGCAACTTCAGTTGAGTGGCCCTGTAATTTGGTTACCACCAAGTCCCACTTATAAAGTTTTGGCACTGGCCCTGCCAAATGTACACTGCTGCTGCTTTAATTATAATACAGCATACCTTAGCCACATCAGCAGCAGCATGTTTCCCATCCGATAATCAAGAGAATTTGGGCCACTTCGTGATTGGTGTCACTCTCAATCTCAGTTGTCATATTCCTACGCATGATTTTGCTAGAAAATGTGTAGTGCCAGGATAGCGGAACATTCTACAAAGAGGTCAGATATAATAAATATGCAAATGGAAGTGTGCAGAAGTCATCAGATTAAAATGCCGCGGTAAGACCAGCAGAGAAAACCGAGCCAAAACCATGACTGAAATATGGCTGAAACATGTTACACATGCGCACAGATTCACAGGTGCACAGATCAAGGAGTGAAGGGCGTGCTCCACTGCCCCCCCACAACGCTGCCACCACCGCCACCGCCGCCGCCCTTCTCTGATGTGCCATCATTGGTGGAGGAGGCATGTGTGGAGCTGGGCACATGCACGTGCATGATGACACCCATGGGTGCCTGGCGCGGGTGCATAAACCCTCCTGATGCCGCTCCTGCAGTGTGCGCGTGATGCTGCTGAGATGGCTCGAATGGCAGGTGAAAAACTGTCTGCGGCTGCGGCTGCGGCTGCAGCTGCTGCTGCTGCTGCTGCTGCTGGTGGTGGTGGTACTGCTGGTACTGTGCTGCTGCTGGTGCCGCTGCTGCTGCCCAGGCATGGCTGCATGTGCTCCCATGGTGCACCCAGCCTGCTCTCCATACCCATGCCCACTGCTGCACTGCTCGTCCCCATGCCCCATTCTGCCGTTCCTATCCTTTCACCCACTGTTCCCATCCCTCCTTCTGCCATGCCCATGCCCATGGCCATTCCCATGCCCCCAGGTATGGCATGAACCCTGAATTCAGGGGATTCAAATAAGTGACGGCCATGTTGTCAGCATACATGCCAGACTGCGGAGCAGCCAAAGAGGGTTGTGAGGACGAAGGAGGAAGCACAGTAGGAGGAGGAGGGACCTGCGAATGGGGCATGCGATGTGCTGAGGAGGAGAGTGTATCAGCAGCCACGGCAGGAGCAGAGGGGGTGGGAGCATGTGGGCCAGTCGAAGCAGTCATGGCAGCGGAAGCAGCAGGTGGAGAAGGGGCAGCTGCAGCAGCACCAGGCATGCTGAAGAGGACATTTAAATCTAATGGAAAAGCATGCAGTCCGAACGAAGGTCCCCCTGTGGCAGTGCCTGTTCCTGCTTCTCCACCTACTCCACCTGATGCTGCTGCCATTGCTGCTCCTGTTCCCACTCCCGCTCCTGCTCCTCTTCCTGCTCCTGCTCCTGCTTCTCCTAGTGCGTCTGGAAATTCAGGTGCTGCCAAACCCACAGCATGTGTCATCATACCACTAAAGATGTCAAAAACCCATCAGATCACCCATCATGCCCGCCTCACATGCCCCACCAAAGGAGCTTCCACCAGGCCACCACTGCCATTACCACCGCCACTGCTGCCGCCACCACTGCCAACACCGGCGCTGCCGCTGCCAGCGCCACCACCACCCTTTTCTAACGAGCCTGCATGCGGGAAGGTATGGGCGAATGCATCTGGTGGCAGCAGGGAGTGCGAGGAGAGAAATCCAAAGGCGTCAGATTCTGCCATGGGCTCCACGTGTGCTAGATTCTGCAGGGTTCCAGAAATATGCAGACCCATGCCCCTCCTGAACGCCCACAGCAGTGCTGCTGCTGCTACTGCTGCTGCTACCGGTGTTGGCGCTGCTACTAGAGCCAATGGCGCTGGCGCTCGTGGTGTTGGGGTGGAATTGGTTGTGTGCTTAGTTGCGTGCAAGCCTGTACCACTGCTGCCGTCTATTCCTGTTGCGTCTCCAAGTGTTGTCCGGAAAGGTGTGTGGGTGAGTCTGAGCGGATAGAAGTGCGAGCAAGGACTCCCTGTAGGGTGTCCAGCAGGGGAGAGTGAAAGCGTTCCAAGGATGTTGTGACGTGGAGAGGAGGTTGATGGAAGGACCGGAAAGAGGAAATGGAAGGGAGAGATCCAGGAATGGTGGTGTCGGTTGGAGGGACGGTGGTGGTGGTGGGGTTGATAGAGGCAGAATTAGCTGGAGCAGACGCAGGAGGTACAGCAGTAGTTGCAGCAGAGGACACATCCGAGGGATGCGTAGACTGTGATAGGATGGAAGCAACTTGAGGCGCAGCATTGGTAGCTGTGAGACTGCTAGCAGACGTTGAAGCAGCCACAGCAGATGCAGCAGCAGTTGACGCAACACTAGCAGAAGGAGCAGCAGCAGAAGCTGCACCATCAGGAGCAGCAGGGGCAGCCGCAGATGCTAAAGCATCAAACATAGTACCAGCTCCTCCACCCGCCTCAAACATCCGTGCATCAAACCCATACTCTCCAGTAAAACCCCCACCAGTAAAACCCCCATCCACATCTTCTCTCAAATCCACATTAGGATCTACACCCAGTGTAGCAACAAAGTACTCAGAAGGAAGAAAAGGAGGAAGCGCAGGGAGGCCATCAGGAGAAAACCCAGTGGTGCTGTTGTGGTGGTGGGAGTGGTGGTGGCAATCGTGTTGCTCTTACTGCCACCTCCACCCCTGACGATCCCAAGGGAGTTCCATTGGGCCCCCCTCCATACCACGCCCGGTTCCCATATGCGAAATGCGAGCCGGATTTGGAGTGGCCAGCAGAAGTTGGCGTGTAGTGGAATGGGGAGGAGGCCTATGGGAGATGGGGAGGGGTATGAGACAATGTAGCGGGGAGCGGAAGGGGAAGGGGAGCTACGGTAGCTCCCGCTGCTGATGGCGCGAATGGCGATGTTGTGCGGTGCGTAGGGGTTGAGAGGGATGATGCCGCTGGACGCTGGGGAGGGGATGGGGCCAATGGAGCGGATAGAGGGAGTAGGAGAAGGTGAGGGGTTGGGGAAGACCACCTGTACCTGCTGCCTGCTGCTGCTGCTGCTGCTGTTGCTGCTGCAGGTGCTGCAGGTGGTTCGCTATTCCTGTTGCTGATTCTGCTAGCCCTGCTGATCCTATCCTCCACCCTCCTGTTTGCTGCTGCTGCTGTGCGGATGCTGATGCTGCTGCTGATGCGGCTGCTGCCATTACTGCTGCCGCTGACGGGGTGTGAGGAGGCATGGGAGGTACAGGTGGGTCAAGAACGGAGAAACCTTCTCCCATCGCTGAACCAGGACAGTCTTGAACAGAACCAATTACACCAGCGTCGCCACCACCGGCAGCAGAAACAGTAGCAGCCACGGCAGGGGCGGCATTGGCATTGGCATTGGCAGCAGAAGATGCAACCAGTTGGTTTGAATGGAACGTCATGGGGGCACAACAGCACGCCCATCACTGCCACTCCCAACCCCTGCCATCCCTGCCATCCCTGCTGCTGCTGCTGCTGCTGCTGCTGCTGCTGCTGCTGCTGCTGCTGCTGCTGCTACTGTCCCACCTGCGAATCCTTCAACCCCACCTCCTCCTCCACCACCCCCCTCCCCTTCAACTCCTGTCTTACCCACACGGAGAACCACCACCATCACCCCTTTCCCCCTCTCCTTCACCCCCTCCTCCCCTTCCAGCACTCCCACCCAACCCCCCTCTCGACGTTTCCTGGTGCACAGGAGAGCTGAGAGCACTCCCTCTGGATCGAACCCCCACCCTCCCTGACCCAGAAACACCAGTCGGCAACAGCCCTTGTTGCACCATCCCTGCCCCTGCCCCTGCCCCTGCCCCTGCCCCTGCCCCTGCCCCTGACGCCCTGTGCTGCCCTGCTGCCCCTGCAAGGTGCTTTCCGCCTGCAATGTGCTGCCCTGCTGCTGCCCCGGGGCGGAAGGAGCACGCAACCTGGCGTCTGACAGCGTCTAGAGAGTGGAGCACAGTGGATATGCTGGCATCGCGGGCCGTTACAGACCTCACCACCACCTCGCGAGGGGAATCCCATAACGATCCCACCACCTGCCCTCCTGTGGCTGCTGCTGCGGCTGCTGCTGGTGATGTTGCTGCTGCTGCTGCTGCTGTGGCTGGTGGTGCTGCGCCTGCAGCTGCGGTGGCAAGTAGCAGTGGCAGGTGCTGCTGTGTGTTGCTGCTCGCGTTACTGCAGAAAAAGTAGCAGAAGTAGCAGTGGCAGCTGCAGATGTGGCAGCGTCAACTGCTTTCAGGACCAGCTGGGACAGCAGCAGGAAACAGGAGCAGCAGGAGCAGCAATCGCATGTCCCCTTTCTGTTCCTTCAACAGAAGCAGCGGGAGAAACATTAGACTCCACACCACCACCACCCTCCCCTCCTTTCATCGTCCCATCCCCTCCTGTCCCCCCTCCTTCTACTTCCCCTCCTCCTGCACCTCCTCCCACGCCCACCCTCCACCAGTCCCCCAGCAGCAGTGGCAACAGCAGCCTTCTTGCTGGCGTGGGAGCGAAGGGGAGGGCGCGGGGGAATGGACAGAGGGGCCAGGGGGCCTGCCCTGAGAGTGGATGAGGAGGACCGCTGCTGCTGCTGCTGCTGCTGCTGTTGCTGCTGCTGGTGGTGGTGTAGATGGGAATAATGAGGCTCGTGGGACCCAGATGGGTTTGCTGGTGGTGCTGGTGCTGGTGTTGCTGCTCCTGTTACAAATGTTGAGAATGATAATGCTGGTGCCAACGCATGGTGTTGCTGCTGCTGCTGCTGCTGCTGCTGTTGCACCTCTTCACCTTTCACTGCTGCTAAGAGAGACTGGGAGTGGGACCCTCCTCCTCCTCCTCCTCCTCCCTCCTCCTCCTCCCTCCTCCTCCTCCTCCTCCTCCTCCTCCTCCTCCTCCTCCTCCTCCTACCTCCTCCTCCTCCCTCCTCCTCCTCCTCCTCCCTCCTCCTCCTCCTACTACTCCTACTACTCCTGCGCCTCCGCCAGCTGGTGCTGTCGGTGCAGCATATGCCGGTGGGGCAGTGTGAGTTGCAGCGGCATGAGGCGCCCCTCCCAGCTGGTCACATGGGGGGACCAAGGAAAGTAGTAGATGGGACGAAATGTGTCGGGCACGATGTGGACGCCACTCATGTAATTTAAACGAGTGTGAATAAAACGGATAGTTGACTTGACAGAGGGTTCTGTCTGGACCGGGGATAGGAACAAACTTGGATGGAAGCACGACGATTGCTCACAGTGACACAGTCTACATCAATCAAGTGAGAATCAAATTGTTGAGTGCAGACTGTGAGCATCCATCTATCAAGCAAGCTTGTAGTGAAACGAGGTGAATTCCATGTCGACTCAAAAAAGGGGATGGGTGAGGTGAGCAGAGGGGCAGTGCCGCCGCTCACCAGAGGTGAGAGAGAAGCTAGCTTCTGACGCGGCAGTTCACCAGAGCTGCTTTTGCGAAGGGAGCTCACCAGGGGCAAGGGAGCTCTGATCCGAGGGGCATCGCAGCAGCAACCCACCCAGCAGGGGCGCAGAGGCGGCTTCTGCGAAGTTGAAAACTCGTCAAGACTTTCGAGACGGCAAAAGAAGCTCACCAGGGGAGAGGAGGCGGAGCGCAGGCACAGGTCGAGCAGCAGCTGGTCTTCCCTGCAGCGGAGCAAAGTGAGTAGAGGCGCGAGCATAGGGACAAACAGAGGGGCAGCATGGAACGCAGAGCTCACCCGGGGGGAGGAGGCGGAGCGCAGGCGCAGGTCGAGGAGCAGCTGGTCTTCCCTGCGGCGCAGCAGGTGCAGGCGGCGCAGACACGTGGTGAGCGTGGAGCTTGCTGCTGCTAGCTGCTGCTCCGTGGCATTCCTGGGAGCGCGGGGGGCGGGGGGGGGAAAGAGGACGGGAAAGAGGTTCGAGTTTATTTTGACGGCTCAGAAAAGCAGCAGGTGCAGGCGATGCAGACACGTGGTGGAGCGTGGAGCTTGCTGCTGCTAGCTGCTGCTCCGTGGCATTCCTGGGAGCGCGGGGGGCGGGGGGGGGGGAAAGAGGACGGGAAAGAGGTTCGAGTTTATTTTTTAGACGGCTCAGAAAAGCAGCAGGTGCAGGCGATGCAGACACATGGTGAGCGTGGAGCTTGCTGCTGCTAGCTGCTGCTCCGTGGCATTCCTGGGAGCGCGGGGGGCGGGGGGGGGAAAGAGGACGGGAAAGAGGTTCGAGTTTATTTTTAGACGGCTCAGAAAAGCAGCAGGTGCAGGCGATGCAGACACGTGGTGAGCGTGGAGCTTGCTGCTGCTAGCTGCTGCTCCGTGGCACTCCTGGGAGCGCGGGGGAGGGAGAGAGAGGGAGCGGGTTCATTCTGAGTCGACTAGAAAAGCAGCAGGTGCAAAGGAAGGGATGCAGACACGTGGTGAGCGTGGAGCTTGCTGCTGCTAGCTGCTGCTCCGTGGCACTCCTGGGAGCGCGGGGGAAGGATGGGGTGTGGTTCGGGTTGTGGGGGTTTGTGGAGACTTAGTGATGGGGGAGACGTGGCAAAGGCAGGCGCATGGATTCAGCATTTCAGTTTTCGGCTTTAGCAAAGTAGGTGATGAGAATGCGGGAGGGAGGACGTGGGAGGGTTAAAAGGGAGGGGGAGGGTGGACGAGGGGGGCGGAAAGTGCAACAACCAGAGCTCATAAGCCGAGGAAGGGACGTTAACTGACAAACACTCCCATTGATTTCACCATGTACATGCGCACGCACATGGGCATGCATGCACGTGCACACACACACACCTGTCAGCCCTGAGTGTGGCCAGTTCACTCCATCGTTCAGACCACCCATGCATCACTGCGACTGCAGATGCACTTGCTGCTGTGGCTGCCTGTGCCTGTGCCTGTGCCTGTGCCTGTGCCTGTGCCTGTGCCTGGGTCTGCGCCTGCGCCTGTGCCTGTGCCTGTGCCTGTGCCTGGGTCTGCGCCTGCGCCTGTACCTGTGCCTGTGCCTGCGCCTGTGCCTGGGTCTGCGCCTGCTGCAGCACCAGCATCTGTTGCTGCTCTTGTGGGGTTCGTGCTGCCGCCACACCATGCTGCAAACGGCTGCTTGCCGTTCCTGCTGCTGCTGCTGCTGCTGCTGCTGCTGCTGCTGCTGCTGCTGCTGCTGCTGCTGCTGCTGCTGCTGCTGCTGCTGCTGCTGCTGCTGCTGCTGCTGCTGCTGCTGCTGCTGCTGCTGCTGCTGCTGCTGCTGCTGCTGCTGCTGCTGCTGCTGCTGCTGCTGCTGCTGCTGCTGCTGCTGCTGCTGCTGCTGCTGCTGCTGCTGCTGCTGCTGCTGCTGCTGCTGCTGCTGCTGCTGCTGTTCCTGCTGCTGCTGCTGCTGCTGCTGCTGCTGTTCCTCCTCCTCCTGCTGCTGCTGCTGCTGCTGCTGCTGCTGCTGCTGTGCTGCTGCTGCTGCTGCTGCTGCTGCTGCTGTGCTGCTGCTGCTGCTGTGCTGCTGCTGCTGCTGCTGCTGCTGCTGCTGCTGCTGCTGCTGCTGCTGCTGCTGCTGCTGCTGCTGCTGCTGCTGCTGCTGCTGCTGCTGCTGCTGCTGCTGCTGCTGTTGCTGCTGCTGCTCCTGCTGCTGCTCCTGCTGTTCCTGCTGCTGCTGCTGCTGCTGCTCCTGCTGCTGCTGCTGCTGCTGCTGCTGCTGCTGCTGCTGCTGCTGCTGCTGCTGCTGCTGCTGCTGCTGCTGCTGCTGCTGCTGCTGCTGCTGCTGCTGCTGCTGCTGCTGCTGCTGCTGCTGCTGCTGCTGCTGCTGCTGCTGCTGCTGCTGCTGCTGCTGCTGCTGCTGCTGCTGCTGCTGCTGCTGCTGCTGCTGCTGCTGCTGCTGCTGCTGCTGGCTGCTGCTGCTGCTGCTGCTGCTGCTGCTGCTGCTGCTGCTGCTGCTGCTGCTGCTGCTGCTGCTGCTGCTGCTGCTGCTGCTGCTGCTGCTGCTGCTGCTGCTGCTGCTGCTGTTCCTGCTGCTGCTGCTGCTGCTGCTGCTGCTGCTGCTGCTGCTGCTGCTGCTGCTGCTGCTGCTGCTGCTGCTGCTGCTGCTGCTGCTGCTGCTGCTGCTGCTGCTGCTGCTGCTGCTGCTGCTGCTGCTGCTGCTGCTGCTGCTGCTGCTGCTGCTGCTGTGATTTCAGCAAATGTGTGTTTTCATTTCTGTCTGGCATTTCTCTCTCACCTCCTTTCCCACCCTTCTGGCCGCCCTGATCCCTACTCTTTTCACCACTCACCCTAGCATCACTACTAGCACTACTAGTAGTAGCACTCCCAGCACCACTACTAGCACCATTCCTTGCATCACCCCCTTCTTCCACTCCCCCACATGCAGCATCTGTCGTCCTCTCAATCGGCACTGGATAGGCAACTAAAGATCCTTCCTTCCCTTCTCCTTCTCCTGCTGGCTTTTCAGTCTCTCCTCTCCGCTCAAACCCCCCCACACATTCTGTCTGCGTTGCATCCCCGAGTTCCCTCCTTTCCTCCTCCACCCCGTGTGACCCGTCTTGACCTCTCAGCTCCCCAGCTTCCTGTGAACTCACACCACAGGCACTCCTTCGCTCACTCCCTTACTCACTCCCTCATTCGCTCCCTCACTCGTTCCCTTGCTCACCGATTGACCAATCATCTGCACCTCACCTTCACCCTTTCCCGTGGTTTCCCTCCATCCACACGCCTTCCCTACATTCTCCTCCCCTTCCCCCTCTCCCCTTCCTCCTTCTCCCTCATCTGCTCCCTCCCCTGCCTCCGTCCCTCCTCTCCTCTCCCCTCCTCTCTCCACACTCCCATCCCCACCCTCTCCTCGTCCCATTCCCAATGATGCAGCGTCATCCCCGCACTCTTCCACCCCCTCTTCCCCCACCTCCCCCTCTCTCTGGCAACTCAGCCCCTCCGTCCCTACCTCTGCACCACCTGCGACCGTTTCACACCCCAACGAAACCCCAAATTCAGTGAACCTAGACGCTTCTTGAGACGAATCCAGGCCAATCGCAGGCTCTCTCACCCCCTCAGCACCAGTCCTATCCTCAGCCCTATCCCCACTGATATGGCTATAGTTACCACTCGTCCTTGCCACCCCCACCTCCTCTGTCTGTGCTCCTTCGGTCTCCGTTTCAGCTACTCTATCATGTTCCGCTACGCTATCACCTTCAGCTCTTCCCCTTGTCTCCTCACGCTCCTCCTGTGCGGAAACGACTCTCTTCTGTTTCTCCCCAATCACTTCCTTCCCCCAGACTGGCTCTTCAGCCCTCCGCCCTCGCCCCCCTACCCTTCCGCTCGCCCCTGTTCCCCTCCCCCTGCTTCTATCTCCCCTTCCCCCTGCGCCATGCGCGCTCCCTTCCCCAGCGGCTACGCGCAACTTTTCCCCCTGCTCTCCGCTCCGCCCGCCCAGTGCCGCTTTCCCCCTGACGCCCGCGCGCCCTCTGCTTGCGCCGTCGCCCCGGCCAGCGGTCCCTCCGCCGCTTCCCCCGCTGCTGTTCCGCACAGCAGTGACCATTTCTCTCCGCGCATGCACCCCGGGCGCGCCGATCTCACTCTCCGCGCACGGGCAGTATCCGCGCAAGCCTAATCCGCGCACGCCGCCTTCCCGCGCCTGCGGGGTGACGCAAGTTAGGAACCCCCGGTAGGTCAGTCGGAATAAGAAGCGGAGAGCAGGAGTTTTGAGGAGACTCAGAAGTCACCCGCGCAGAGGAGAAAAGGAGACTAGAAGCACAAGTGACTCGGGACGGAGGAGATTGCGAAGAAGAACGGCCGAAGCTGCTAATTAAGACAGTCCAGTGTGATAAATTAGAGCGTATTCCCACGCCTGAACAATAGGCGGATGCGAGGGAGTGAGCATGGCAATATGAATACAACGATATACACGACTATCGCGACCCGATTGAGGCATTCGGCCTCGGAACCTGGTCGATTCTAAAAGGTTGCACTTTCGCCTCTCGAAATTGGACGACTTTAGAGATGTATTAAAAAGAGCGGCGTGGGAAAAGCTAGGCCGCTAGTACTTTCGTCTCACGGAACCCACGAGTTGTCGTCGACAGAACATGCTCTTGCGCACGTCAGACCAGCATCATGCGACAAAGCAATGCAGACAAATGCCAGACTCATAGAGCATACAACATACATGGATCAGCCTTCGGCGAAATCTATGATCAGTAGTATTGCTGCGGCGAGGCTGTGATCCGAGGGTGTTATGGACCTCTGTTGTTGTGGAATCGAGGGTGGAGGTGACAAACAAGTGCGAGATCTACTTGAGGAAACTTTACAAACAGATGGAAGAAATATTGAAACGAATGACTTAATAAAGGAGCAACGTCTTCATAGCGAGGCTTGAGACCGTGTTCCTGGAGCAAAACATCAGTCAAGTGACACCTAGAAAAAGCCATCGACCGCAACGATACTTCCAGTACAGTAGACTTGGAGGCGTTTCGTACTCACTTCGCATCTTGTGACTTCGATGAAGCCACTTTGCATTGTTGAATTGAGCAGCCCAATCCTGGCCGTAATTGCTGGAGTTCGCACTGGAAGCTGTGACTGCTGACCACATGGAATGGGAGTTCAAGGTTCAAGGTGCCTGGAGTTTGAAACGCATAGGCGAAGACAGGCGAAACACAGACCAGAGGATTTGATCCAGTTTCCACGTGCTTCGACACTTGCTTTCGTAGCTTGACCGCCTGCTCTGCGCTTCCAGCAGGCGACTCTTTCCCGCGTTATGCGGAAGCCGTTGCGGAATGCGACAATCGTCTGTCGCCGTCATGCGACCGCTGCTGCGACGAGCTCCAGGTCACCGGCGACGGATCGCCGCGATCCTTCTCGTCTTATCGCTGACGTCAGCCATGGTTGTCCTGCTGGTAGGATACCGGGCAGGCAGGGAGATGGACGATGGAGGCGCGGCGCGGCACGAAGCAGCGCCCAGTATAACGGGCATGAAAGGCGATGCGCGGGAGGAGGAGGGGGAACGGGGGAGCGCAGACGGGGAGAGAGCGCGGTGCGAGGGCGCGGAGACGGCGCCGCGTCGCGAGAGGATCCCGTTCCCGCCCATGACAACGGATATGATCGCATTGGCTGAGGTGAGCCGTTGCATGGTGACTTTTGAGGCCAAATTTTCAGGTGACTTCTCACTTGACTTTTCAGGTGTTCAGCCTCAAAAGTCACCCGGTTCGGCTGGTACGGTCGCTGTGACCGAGGTGAGCCGTTGCACGAGTCACTCTCGAGAGCGTGACTCATCTCATCTCACGCGTGGCTCACATTATCGAGCTCTCATCTCATTAGTGACTCCATCCCATCCCACGCGTCCCTGTCTGTCTGTGTCCGTCTGTTGGTTCGTCTGTTGGATGGATGGAGCCAGATCGCCTGGTTGGGCTGATGTGACTAGCTAGAAGCAGCTCACTTGTAGGATGGATGGAGCAGCTCTTCCTCCTCCTCTCTCACTCTCCCCTTACTCTCTCTCCCTTCACCCCCAAATCCCTCCCCCCCCCCCCGCCCCCCCCACCTTTTGCCCCATGCGATTTTCGCATATTCTCAAAAACCGCTCGCATTCTCTTCCCCTTTGCACTGTGCCCCTTGCGCCCAGCAGGACTCTCTCTCTGCTCGCCTGCTCTCCATGTGTGCGTGTGATGCCGTGGCTGTGACTACACACCTCACACTGCAAGTCATCTGGTCAACTGCTGCTGCAGCTGCCGCTGGTGATGCTGCCGGTGATGCTGCTGCTGCTGGTTTTAACGCGACAACTTCTTCTGCTGCCAATGCCGGTGCCACCACGGGCACCACCAGTAGTGATAGTGGTAGCAGTGGTACCAGCAGCGGCAGATGCAGGGATACAAGCAGTCATGGCAGGCTCAGCAATAGCCATGATACAAGCGAAGGGAGTGGCATCAGAGAAGGGTTTTCCAGCCCGTCTTGTGCTTATAACGAGAGGAGCTACCAGCAGATGGAGGGCGTCAGGTTCTCCGATCTGTTCGATGGCCGAGTGGGTGACGTGGCAGTCATTGATTGGCCTCCTGTAGGAGCTGGAACAGGAAGTGTAGGAGCGGCAGCAAGAGGAGGGAAGGGAGGAGGCGGAGAAGGAGGAGTAGGAGGAGGAAGAGGAAGGTGGGGCGATGAGGCGAAAGCAGGGCCGTGGGGTGATGAGGGATGGGCAGGTGGGGGGGTGTTTGAAGCACTACCAGCGCAGTTCACTCGTGTCAAGGTAAGTGGTTGCTGTTGTGGTGTGGTGTGGTGTGGTACGGTGTGTAGGAAGGTTAATGGGCAAGTAGCTAATGGCTTTCAAATATGGGCGATGCTGCACATGCACATTCACATGCACAAGTCCTTTGACAAGCCTGTGCATCATGGTCATACCGTGACAGCAATCTCATCCCTTCCGCCCATGCAACATGGCTTGGTATCGAATGGCGTGGCATGGCATGATATGGCACAACGTTGCGTGGCATGGCATGTTATGGCATTTTATGGCATGTTATGGCATGTTATGGCATGGCACACAGGTTCAATCATCTCCCTGCTCCAGTAAGTGGCCTGGCACACCCACAGGAGGCAGCAGCAGCAGCATCAGTGCGAGTAGCACTGCCTCTGAAACGCAGAGGGGGCATGGAGAGGCCTCAGGAGAGGGTAGCAGCAGAGGGGTGGGGAGTGGAGGGATGGGGAGAGGTGGGACAGCAGGGAGTGAACAGCACATGCATGCATGGCTGTCCGGTGTGTTTGACTCTCTGCTGCTGCTCGTGCACACGAGTAAACAGTCAGAGCTGCTTTCGAAGGTAAGGGCGTGTGAGCTCTAAAACACGTTCCTTCCCCCTCTTTTTCATACCGGCTCTATGTGTGCGTATAAGTGACTAGCCAAGCTCTTTGTCACGCCTCGCTAGCCAGTACCAGTACCTGCCAAAGCAATTCTTTCCGCACGCTAAGTCCTCTGTACTCTTGAGCGATTTTATTTCTCATTTCTCTCTCGTTGTTTTCTTTTTTCTTTTCTTTTCTTTTTTCTAGAAGCAACCCTCAAGAGCTCCCCCCTTCCCCGCTTCCCCTTCACTCCCCCCTTTTCTCCGCTCCATCCTCCCACTTAACCTCTCCGCCCCTACTGTCTCTTTCCCTCTCTTCCCTCTTTCCTGCACTCCCGCAGTTCCCCCTTCCCCAGTGCCACCTGCAGCAGCACTTCACAGCATGCCTGGCTCGCTTGCGCCCC